AGTAGGTATACTTCAATTTGGACATGAATTGTTGATCAAATTATTAAATTGGGTTGTGTCCTGCACGTGGACGCTCAGAACTTTATGCTGCACCCTCTTCGGTAGTGCAAAATTTCGGCAACTATGAAAAGACTGACAAACCTCTTTCTTTTTTTAAAAGTCCTCTTCCTAAAAGAATTAATTTTTTAGACAAGTTTTAATTTATTTGGTAAGCACCTTTTATGATTTCGAGATGTTTCTCCTTCACTTCGCAATGGACAGTCATAAATTTGGGCTTGACAGATTCTTAAAAGTATCAGCTTAGAGGATCTTTTAGTTAGTGTTTCTGTAAAATAAGCTATCATATAATTCATTTATAATTAATCATTAATGTAGATTAATCGGTAAGGCAGAAACTCAGGGATGTAAACTCAATGGGATTTGTGTACTTACTTATTGATTGATAAATTAAACAAGTCTTTTAAATAAAAACATAATCATTTATTTCTATTTCTGGATACATTTCTAAACGTATTTTTAATTTCGACCAAAACAAGAAAACAAGCCTTTATTTTGCCCAGTTGTGGAAGAATCCTTATGGTTTTGATAAGTCATTCTTGATAACTCCTTCTCTCTCATGTAGCAGTTCATTAGACGTTTTTTCAACTCTTCACTATTTAGCTCAGACACTGGCCGACGATCAATCGGATATTTTGTCCAAACGTTAGCTGAAAAATATCATTTATAATTGGCATTACTCTTTTTCTCAACTGTATTAACATGTGTATTATTTTGTATGATCAAGTGGTTTATTTCATTTAGTGATTAAGATGCGTAGCCGCGTCACATGTAAGTTAAAGTAGCAGACGAGCATAGCACTAAGCCCATTTTTTACGTCCAAATCAGCTTCCAAAATTTTTCGAAATTAAAGAAAAAATATTATACATCGTGATAATTATATCACACTAATGTTTCAGACTCATCAGGCTTCTATTAGGATAAACTATAATTTCAAGAAGTATTTTGATAAATCGAATATACAGCACATTAATTTCGAAGTTTTTTGGCATGATTTCACATCAGTTGCATTATTATGTAACTGTTGCTGGCTCATATATTTCTTATTGTTTCCATTCGTACTATCGCTTTGATCGATTATTATAGTTGATCATAAATTATCTATGCTCATGTTTTGGAATATGTCTGTTATGAGTTATAGTTTAAAACGCAGTTCATTGATTCTCCACACTCCTACATTCTTTTTGCGATTTTGTGACAGTTGCGTTCAAACAGCTGTAAATCATCAAAATAAAATAAAACTACAAGTGCTACGAATTTCCAGGTGTCAAGATAAGTACCAAGTCTTACAACGAATTCTAACTATGTAACGACATCTATACTGTATGGAGTAGTACGAAATTTTAAAGTAGGGTTACAATTCCCATTAACAATTTATAATTTAAAATTAGATTTAGTTTATATTCAAGTTATAGTTTCACATCAACAAGCAGTACGCTTTACACCCAAGTACCAAATTAGCTTCTGCAACTACATTAGGTGGTAATTTTACAACTGGAGCACAGGTACTTTCAGGTTACACTTACATGCCTGAAGAAATAATGCCTAATAGTCAAATGCATGATTCAAGCCTTCGATTACGTTATCCGTCTGCAACTCTATCGCAACTACCTCTGAGTTATACATCTGGGCCTCCAAATAGTGTGCCTACTCAAGGAAGCTCAATGTTATTCCACGATTATATCACAGGATGGTTTGCAAAGGGATGCACTCCAAGGATTATCTCCAAGTCAACCAAAAAGTAATTGTAGGAGTAAGTTTAGAACCATCACATTTTTTATAAGCTTTATTTAAAACTTTTTCATTGAACATTAATATTTTTAATTCACATTAAATATTTTTTAATTTTTTTAGCACAACGAGGAACAAGAGCCGGTTGTCATAGACTTAAACAACGCCAAAAAAGTTATTGGGCAGTGTCTAGTTTATTACATAATTTAGCTTTAAGGTAATCAAGATAGAGGCAGAGGCAGAATTGGACGAGGCAGTGTGTTAAATTTCGAATAACTTTTTTCATTAATTCTATTGTAGACAATAAATGAACGGATTTAGTTTTTGTGTACCTAAGAAAAAACCAAATTTTTTTTTAATTTGTTGTGTTTCTCATGACTTTCAAAATTTTGCTGTTTTTAGAAAGCAAGAATCGTTTTATTTAAAAAAATATTAACTTTTTATGTTATTGTTTGAAAAATGTTTGATAAAAGTTTTAAAATAGTTAACTTTAACATTTTAAATAGTTTTTAATATATTTTTATTCAAAGCAGTACTTATGTTTAAGACGGTCAGGACAAAATTGTTAAAATAATTATAGTCTAATACTAAAAAATAATCAATACGTGCTAATACAGTGACCTTAAAATTGTGATTAATAGTAGTAAGTGTTTAGCATAATCATGTTCAAAAGTGACAATTGCTATCTGTAATATTAAGTAATCATTAAGAGCAAATTATTCATTACATGTTGATGTATTAAATACAATAATATTATAGTTATTATTTTTATTGATCAAAATATTTAAAAAATAATTTTTTATTATAAAAAATATTATTACAGTAGTAATGTTTGACGTCAAACATTACAAATTAATCAACATACGCAAAACAGTGCCCTTATTATTTAGCATGTTAACAATTTTGTAATATATAATTTTTCTGCGTTTCTTTAACTTTTGTACTTTTATAAAAGTTTAATACATGAAGTGAAAACATCCTATCTTTGTTTAAATTGACTAATCCATGCTTTTTCTTTTGCTTCATTATATGTAAACTCAAGTTGTCACATAAGTATGTCCACAAAACTTATTGTAATGTTTCTACAGGTAATTAAGCAATATTTAAGTTACAATGAAACGGAAAAGTTGGTTTAAAAAATTCTGTAAAGAAGAAAAAAAAAGCAAAGACAGAAATATTACGTTTAAATCTCTACTTTGTGTAGACCTAGAAGTTGCTTATGAAGAATGTGCTTTTTTACAAATTCAAATTTGAAACGTAAAAATAAAAAATATTTGTTATTGATCTCAGTGGATGAAATTTTTTGCAATGTTATTATCACTGTGCAAGAATCATTTAGTTCATGAAATTATTGAAAATGTGTACTCTACTTGTTACTTGTGGCTGCAATGTTACAGCTGTAGAGTGTGTGGGTTGGGGGAGGGAGTGAGACAGAGTCAGAGACTAGGTGAGCAGCTAACGGCACCGCGCCTTACCGAGCTCGTTGTCAAATTTATCACGAGCATAATATATCGGGATATAATGTAGTAAAATAGACCATGCTTATAGCCGATAAAGTCGTCAATTGTCCATAATATCTCAAAATGCTGGCCAGAAGTTGTACTAAGTTTATACCAGGGATCATAGTTAGATAATTTCTATTTAAAAAATACGTATTCAAATTATAGCCTGACTAGTTGACAAAAGTATTTTGTAATCATCGAAATAAATACTATTTTGCGACTATGGTGGAGAAAATTACGATTTTCGATACTTTGTTGAAAAGTCAGAGTAATCAGAACGTCAGGTAAAGCTTTCCGGTTGAATATGTGATAATATAATCCTGCGGAGTACATAGTTTTACATTAAAGAAATGATAAAGAAGTATTGGAAACACAAATCGTTTGCTGCACTTAGGAAAAGATATAATGAAATCAGTAAAAAATGTATACTAAATAATCGGAGTATGAATAAGAAGAAGAAAATCTTTTTTAAAAATTAGCAGAATGTGTTACTGTCTTTTTAAATTTACAACTTTGTTGAGTGAATTATGTATAAATTAGTCAATTGGATAATTATTTTAACTACGTAAAAAATGTAAAATCAAATTCAGAAGCAAACAGCATAATACTAATAAAATACAAGTATAATTATGTAACTGAAAAATATTGTAAAAAAGGTGATCCAGTAAAAAAAAAAAGGTGAAAAAGTAAGAAAGTAGGATAGCAACAAAGAATTGATGTTACAGTTAAGCTTGTTTACAATAATACTAAATTAACATAAATATCCAAAAGCTAACATGGGCAGCACTTGTTATACATAGCTTAGATGAAGATAGGTATACAAATGTTGAATAAATAAATTGAGTTACTGGAATAAAAAGGGATATGTACAATACAATAATAACAATAGGATATAAGTTCATCAAAGAACATTAGTTGAGGGTTAAAATGTAAAAGGTGATTGTGTGTGAGTAAGATATTTAAAAGTCATATTAAATATCCATTATCATTTGAAAACAGTGAGGTAAGCCCATAAAATAAATAGAAGATACAAACAGCAAAAAAGTAGTAATGAACTACGGAAAGACCAGAAATAATGGCCTAGAAAAAAAATTCCATTCGGTATGTATTAAAAAAGAGTGTAGATAGTCCAAACGATTCGCAGGCCAATGAAAAGGTGCTTTTTCGAAAGAAATGACAAAATCAGTTCAAACTTGCAATAAACTAATTCAAGATACTAGAGAAGCAAAATCACAAACTACAAAAAAAATATGTCAACAGTATGGAAAACTACAACGATTTGATGTTTTTGAAATTTAATACTTAATAAACTCTACTACTGTTCAGAGTTTAATATATGCGCGTATAAATTTTTAAGTGAAAAAAACGCAGGGAAAGTGGCTGAAACTGCTGAAAGCTGGTAGACATTGGTGTGCCGACAAAAATATTTGTATATGTATTGATAAATACAATTCAAACTAACTATAGATGTTTAATTATTATCCTACGTAACATATCATTTTTTGGAAAGCATAAATGATGTTAAATGTTATGTTCATCAAATAAAGAACTTACAAAGACTTAAGAGGATGAAATCTATTATAAAAATACATCTATCATGCAAAATGCAGTCAAATTTAGAAAAAAATGTGTACATGCCTGATTCTTTTTTACTTTTGTTCATCTTTGTACTGATTGGATTTGGTACTGTTCAAATATTAAACTTCTCCTTTAGAGTTCAGGAATTCCTCTGAACAGCAGAATGTTCGTGAGTTTTAATTCTTCCGTAGCGTTGTGAATACTGCCGTCTGGTCTATACTTTGCCTTATTTATATCGTGGCCAAACTTCATGTCGATGTTAGCTGACGACACAACCGAGTTAGCTTAATCAGTTATCAGGAAAGAGAAAATTACTTTCTGTCGTTTTCTTTTGTAAAATATGCTCATGAGCACTATAAAAATTTATAGACAATATACTAGGTAATTAGGGAATTGTGGTCGGCAAAAAGTGAAACGGTTCAAAAAAGAGTACAACATTTCTACTAATACATACCTCGAAAAGTGTATCGATTACTACAATCAAATCAATGAAGTTTTTGGAATTGTACTGAATTTTTCTATGGTTACTCTATACACCAAGTTTGGGCTTGAATTATTTTTTGGAATGTTAATATGGGCGTCAACTTTTCTATTTCTCATTGAATTTCTACCTATTCATCGAACAGATAGCAATATCAAATATTTAGCAATTATCAAGTAGAAAGTTGTGAAACCAAATCGAGCCCAACGATAAGGTTGAAAACTTTAATTTCCGAACTTTCTTTAATTTCCGAACTTGTCGAATGTTTTGCAATTTTCTATGTTATTGCTAGTATATAAGAAAACAAGCTGGGATTAAGCATTCAAATCTTAGCTAGCATTGTGGAGTACACTTTGTGTTATTTCGAAGCTAAGTTATATACACCTCTAAGGTTTAATTTTAATGATAATACTTTTTCAACAAAACTATNATAAAGCTTCTTCCTAATCATTTGCGTTTTGGCTGTTGCAGTGAAATGAGTGGATCTCGGCTTGGCAGGGGTCGAATGGGCAGGTTGGCGATAATGCTAGTATATAAGAAAACAAGCTGGGATTAAGCATTCAAATCTTAGCTAGCATTGTGGAGTACACTTTGTGTTATTTCGAAGCTAAGTTATATACACCTCTAAGGTTTAATTTTAATGATAATACTTTTTCAACAAAACTATAAAAAGTGCTTGACTAAAAGGAAATCATTCTTTCCAAGAACAGTTTGTCTCTTGTTAAAAATACTTATAAGAGAAATTGTACAAATAAATATCCTTCATTAAATTTTTTGTAGCAGTGTGTTGAAACAGTAGTTCTCTATTATAGTTTCGAAACTCTACAAATTCTAGCACCAGGACGAACGGAGTTTCAAGTTTAAGAAAAACGAGGTACAAAAAATGTTATATCTTACACATTACGAAATGTTACATGAAAGTCTTATCCCGAGAAAAAAATTAACACAGCTTTAGCCTATGGAAAAAACTTTCATTGTCTTACACTTTCTCTTACTCTTCCTAATTAAGTAGTTAGCTATTGCTTTATTGTAACAACGTAACATGACGTAATTCCCAAGAAAAAGTAAAGATGATATTTTAGATAACGAAAAAAAAATTTTAAATATGAAGAAAAAGTAAGATTAAACCTAAAGGTAGAGAGAGATTTGGATTAGCTTAGCGTGCCACAACATTTATAATTGACACAAAACCTACATAATTAGGAGATTTTTACGATTTTTTGAACTTATATTACAGCTATTTTTTTTTCTTGTTTGCCGACGATTTGTGTATTGCAGAAGAAAATGCTCTTTATTAAGGCCTTATTAATTAATTACACGAAATTTTGGAGCATGGAAGCTACAAAATACATTTTTTGTAGAATTTTTTTTTTCATTTACTTGAAGATTTATAATTAATTCTTCTATTAAGCCGAGAAATCTAGCTTTACTCAACGATTTACACTATATTCAAATTTGAAACAATTTAGTGGCGTGATACATCATATATTTGACACAAGCCATAAATAAATGTTTGAAAAACTTTTTTAAAAACTTCAGAACTTTTAATGTAGTTGGTTGATGAATAGAGCATTGAAGGAAAAAAAAATTAAATTAAGAACCTTATCATGAAACTGCAAGCAATTTTTGAGCATGACGAAACCTATTCATTCCATTAAACATTATTAATTTAGCAACTTTTGATAAACATTACTCATATTTATGGAAATTTACTACAATGTCTCCAGTTAGACGATGATAAAAAATTTAAAAAACAAAATAATTATTGTTAGATACAAAAATATTTAACTGCAAGAAATTTTGAGTCGTGACATGATTTATACATAACATAAAATATTAACTTCACAACTGTCAGTAAACATCACTCATTTTTTTCAAAAATTAACTATCATATATCTCTAGTTAACTGACGATATTAGCTTTGCAAAAGGAAATAAACATTGTTAAGTATCTAAATAGTTAACTATAAGTATTTTCCTAAGCGTGACAATCTACAATTGATATATTGAACAATTATACAAATTTACTTTTTAAGCTTTAATCATTTGTTTAAATTGTTTTTTCTTTCTAACCAAGGGTTTTAGCTTTTCCAAACGGTTAATACTGTTTCTAAGTATCTAAACTTTTATTTACAAGTAGTTTAATCATGTCACGACTCAAAATTTCTTGCAGTTAAATATTTTTGTATCTAACAATAATTATTTTGTTTTTTAAATTTTTTATCATCGTCTAACTGGAGACATTGTAGTAAATTTCCATAAATATGAGTAATGTTTATCAAAAGTTGCTAAATTAATAATGTTTAATGGAATGAATAGGTTTCGTCATGCTCAAAAATTGCTTGCAGTTTCATGATAAGGTTCTTAATTTAATTTTTTTTTCCTTCAATGCTCTATTCATCAACCAACTACATTAAAAGTTCTGAAGTTTTTAAAAAAGTTTTTCAAACATTTATTTATGGCTTGTGTCAAATATATGATGTATCACGCCACTAAATTGTTTCAAATTTGAATATAGTGTAAATCGTTGAGTAAAGCTAGATTTCTCGGCTTAATAGAAGAATTAATTATAAATCTTCAAGTAAATGAAAAAAAAAATTCTACAAAAAATGTATTTTGTAGCTTCCATGCTCCAAAATTTCGTGTAATTAATTAATAAGGCCTTAATAAAGAGCATTTTCTTCTGCAATACACAAATCGTCGGCAAACAAGAAAAAAAAATAGCTGTAATATAAGTTCAAAAAATCGTAAAAATCTCCTAATTATGTAGGTTTTGTGTCAATTATAAATGTTGTGGCACGCTAAGCTAATCCAAATCTCTCTCTACCTTTAGGTTTAATCTTACTTTTTCTTCATATTTAAAATTTTTTTTTCGTTATCTAAAATATCATCTTTACTTTTTCTTGGGAATTACGTCATGTTACGTTGTTACAATAAAGCAATAGCTAACTACTTAATTAGGAAGAGTAAGAGAAAGTGTAAGACAATGAAAGTTTTTTCCATAGGCTAAAGCTGTGTTAATTTTTTTCTCGGGATAAGACTTTCATGTAACATTTCGTAATGTGTAAGATATAACATTTTTTGTACCTCGTTTTTCTTAAACTTGAAACTCCGTTCGTCCTGGTGCTAGAATTTGTAGAGTTTCGAAACTATAATAGAGAACTACTGTTTCAACACACTGCTACAAAAAATTTAATGAAGGATATTTATTTGTACAATTTCTCTTATAAGTATTTTTAACAAGAGACAAACTGTTCTTGGAAAGAATGATTTCCTTTTAGTCAAGCACTTTTTATAGTTTTGTTGAAAAAGTATTATCATTAAAATTAAACCTTAGAGGTGTATATAACTTAGCTTCGAAATAACACAAAGTGTACTCCACAATGCTAGCTAAGATTTGAATGCTTAATCCCAGCTTGTTTTCTTATATACTAGCATTATCGCCAACCTGCCCATTCGACCCCTGCCAAGCCGAGATCCACTCATTTCACTGCAACAGCCAAAACGCAAATGATTAGGAAGAAGCTTTATTTTACCATAGCTTACGTTATGTTGTACCGTTAAAAGCAGCCTTTGGCAAGTTTTTTGAATGTTAATGTGATAATAGATAGATTATAAAAATTTATAAAAATAATATTCTATCAAATATGTTTTNCACATCTTTTTACTATTGATCACTTTGCATTAGATGTCCACAATTCGAATCAATAAGTGAAATAAGGCCTAATTAATGCTGTACAAGCTTTTAAAAAATATATTGAAGCCTTGAAAAAAATATGGTATTTTACAAATATAAAAGGATAACCATGTCAATTAGTGAACATATTTGATAGAATATTATTTTTATAAATTTTTATAATCTATCTATTATCACATTAACATTCAAAAAACTTGCCAAAGGCTGCTTTTAACGGTACAACATAACGTAAGCTATGGTAAAATAAAGCTTCTTCCTAATCATTTGCGTTTTGGCTGTTGCAGTGAAATGAGTGGATCTCGGCTTGGCAGGGGTCGAATGGGCAGGTTGGCGATAATCGGCTGCGTGACCATCACTGTGATTATCGTGATGTTCATTTATAAAACAACAAGTGCCGAAATGGCCAGGCTGAAGAGTCTTCACGCCAAATGTGCGCAGCAACAGGAGGTGCTGGCCGCTCAGTTACAAGGTTAGTTGAGATTCTTGATAACAATTTCAATGAGAGTGAACTTTTTTCTTTTTCAATGAAATTACGTAAATAATTTTCGTAATAACGTGACTGTTAGGTTTACAGAATAAAACCACTAAACATAATATAAACAAAGTATATCCGTCATTGCATGTATGGTTATATACAATCATTTATGTCAGTTTAGCATTGATTTTTTTACCACTAAATATTAGAATTTTCTTTTTTTTTAAAAACCTATGTTATTTACAGTAATTACTATAGGTATTGTATACATTCATTGAATTATCCATCATTTTATAACATTATCATGTGACAAAACTCTTTTCATTATAGTTGCCTGATTATCTGCTGAGGAAAAATTGTTTCAAATGTGGATTCATTTAATTTGCCGTGGAAATTAAAATTAAATAGTCTTATAATAATGAAAATATTCTTTGATTACAGTTCAACCGAAAAACTTTTTCTTAAATCATTCTTGATTTTAAAATATCTGTATGATTAATATTATGAAAAATATTTTTACTATTGTCATAAATAGAAATTTGAAAATTAACCGCCGAATGTACATAAGCATGCCATTCCTTTCCATTCTAAAGTCCCTTAATCCATTTATT